GAGCAAAGCATGAGGCATTGTAATGCCAGACTTGAAGTTATATTAAAAAGCTACCATTTCATGCCTACCTTACAAGCACAAGGTCCTGAGTTTGAACCCTCATACCAAAAAAATAAATAAAAAAATAAAAAGCTACTGGGATAAAATTAGCATGAAGGAGCTGGGGACTTAGCTCAGTGGTGCTACTGCCTGCCTCCCAAGCCCAAGGACCTGAGTTCCATCCCAAGTACCTAAATAAATAAATATTTTAAAAGGTTAGCATGGCACCAGCAAAAATCCAGACATGTGGATTAATGAAACAGAATAGATAATACAGAAATAACCCCCAGCAGATTCAGCTATCTGATCTTTGACAAAGGGGCCAAAAACGTACACTGGGGGAAAGATAGCCTTTTTTTTTTTTGGTTTTTTGAGACAGGGTCTCACTATGTAGTGAGACTGACCTGGAACTCACTATGTAGCTCAGACTGGTCTCAAACTCACAGCGATCCTCCTGCCTCAGCCTCCCGAGTGCTGGGATTACAGGCATGCGCCACCACACCCGGCCAAGATAGCCTCTTTAACAAATAGTACTGAGAGTACTGGCTATCCTCATGCAGAACATGGAATCTAGACCCGTATCTCTCATTGTGTACCAGCCTAAAATCAAGATGGGTCAAAGATCTAAATGTTGAAATAGAAACAATCTGCTGAAATATAAAACATAAAATTCTTAAATGCATAGGCTTAGGTAAGGACTTTCTGAACAGAACTCCAGCTGCACAAGCAATAACATAAAAAATCAACAAATGGGATCCTCTCAAAATAAAAAGTTCCATGCAAAGGAAACAACACAGTGAAGAGACAAACCTACAGAATGGGAAAAATGTTTATCAGCTGTTCCTTGGACAGTGAACTAATATTCAGAATAGAACTCAAAATATCAGACTCCTCCAAAATTAAAGATCCAATCAAAAGTGAATAGACATTTCTCAAGAGAATTACATATGGCCAATAAATACATGAAAACATGTTCAATATCTCTGGCCCTTAGAGAAATACAAGTTAAGACAACACTGAGATTTCCTCTTACTCCAGAAAGAATTGTTATCATCAAAAAGTCAAATAATAAGTGCTCACAAGGCTTCAGGGTAAAAGGAATCCTTCAACATAGTTGTTGGGAATGTCAACTTGTGCAACCATTATGAAAATCACTATGGAGATTCTTTAAAAAGCTAAGGTAGAAATTCCATTCGACCCCACTGTTCCTCTTCTAGGTATCTTCCCAAGAGTTAGTCATCATATGACAGTGACACATGCCTACCCATGTTTAGACCAGCACAACTCATAATCGCTAAATCTTGGAAGCAGCCTATATGTCCATCAACAGAAGATAGATTTTTAAAATGTGGCATTTATACACAATGGAATACTATTCTGCTATAAAGTATAATAAATGAATCATTTGTAGGAAAATGGATGCACCTTGAGACAATAATGTTAAGTGAGATAAATCAGACCCACAAGCTTAAATATCACAGGATTTCTCTTATACAAGAAACCAAAAATATAAAGTGCAAGTAAAAGGTGACAGGAAACAGGGAGATAAGTCTTTTGCACAAGGGAAGAGGACCAATAGATCCAAGGAAGGGGAAGGGAGAGGATGGAAAAAGGATGAAAAAAAGAACTAAGATATGTTACGTACCTGTACAATTATGTACTGCAAACATGTACTGATAAATAGAAAAAAAATTTTTAGTGAAGGTAATCAATAAATGATACACTGTCAAGGAAGTTAACCATCGTGAGCATATGGTGCTGAATTCCGTTGGAGTGGTTCAAAACACTTGCTTTAAAATATTCTGACTGGAGGGGTGAGGAAGCTTATGTGATTAAATACCCAATTTTTGAGAGACACTAGTGTAGAGCTGCTGGTAGATGCAATTTCCTCAGCATCTCCAGCTGCATTTATAGATGTCATGGTTGATTTTGTTTAGATGCAAACATCTGACAGCAGTACGATGTATATGGTGGGGAAATTTAATATTAAAATATATATTATTATATCAATAGTGTATTATTTTTCCTTTATTATTTCACTGGTCAAAAATATGTAGGTAGAAGATATTTAAGAACACCATTTCAAGACAGTAAAATGCAGCTATCTCTTTCCTAGGGAGTTCCCCTTCCTTTCCACTCAGCTGTGATCTTTAGTCATAGATGATTGCAGACTCCAGTTTTGTGCTTTGGTTGTAATGACAGTCTGAAATCTCTTATAATCAAGTTGTGATAGAATGGGCCACCTTGCAACAGAAAGAACCACATAGGTCATTCTATATCTATAGTTTTCAGCAGGTTTATCATACATTACTAGGTACCCAGACCAGTTCTCCGAATCTAGAAAATGTAATTAAGGAATTGGAATCAGGCCACAGTTAACTCAGTTACCATTCAGGTATTTCAGGTTGGGTTCCCCAGGAAGCAGATGCTGTGTGGAGTTCAGCAAGACATTTAAAATATTAACATTGGGGCCAATGCTGTAGAAAGAAGGGCAAGAGTTAAGAGGAAGATGAGATATGACACCGTATGTGTTGTTGTGAAACACCAGAGTGGCCAGAACTTTATTCTTTTTCAATCATTAGTTATTTAGTGTTGGAGTAACAACCAACACTGCCAACCTAAGAGAGGACATGATATTGGGGAGATAGCCGCTGCAGCTGAGACAATCCCTGAAGGTTGTGACAGCTGCTGATTGTCCTGGAAACCTTCCCATAGTGGTGGTCACAGGCCTTCACTGAAAAAGGATCTGGGAAATGTGTTCCAGTGTCCATTATACCAAAGAAACAGAACCAACTCCTCCTAATGGCAGAATCAAAATGAAGAACTGAAAAATGACTATGAATCATTTTTAGTACTTTAGAAATAAAAGTATATTTTTAACCATCATCTTGTTAGGGTGAAGTCCTTTTGCCAGCATTTGAAGGAAGGCTAATGGTGATTTTATATTTCCTCCTACATTTATTAATTGTAATTCTATTGTACAGAATACATCTACCTTCTTAATTTATTTATTCAGTTACTACTCATATCAATATGGACTTGGTTTTTATTTTATTCTATGGATTATAATCTAATCCTACCAATATTTTTCCATCCATTTAATAGAAGCTCCTCTAAATTGGCTCCTGTGTAAGAAAGCTCTGTCCTTTGGGGAGCTCTTTCTTATTTTATGGCACCACAAGATTTTCCATATTCATCTTGTAATTTTCCCTACCCAGCTCTGAATCAACCATTCCGAAGAGTCCTGCTTCCTCTGATCAAAGAATGACATTAGAAACCAAAATCTAGGGGCTTGGTGTTCACTGTTAATTGGGAATATTTTCTTAAAACATAGTACCACTATCATTCCTAAAAATTGACAACTGTTGATATCACCTAATATCCAATCAGTATAAAATTGCATCAATCATCTCAATGTCTTTATAGAGTTGATTTATTCAAACTAGGATCCATACAAGGCTCACAGTTCTTCTTTTACTTGGTTATTTGTTCTAAACTGTAAGTTTTCCCACCTCTTTTTCTTTCTTGCTATTTGTTAAGAACTCACATCATTTTTCCTGTAGAACTTCTTACATTATGGATTTGGTTGATTGTATCTGGACGGTGTCATTTTACATCTAGTGTTTCAGGTTTGATTTTTTGGGCAAGATTTCATAGCGGAGACGGTTCGGTTTTTATTGTACCACAGCAGAACACATAATATCTAATTCAGCACTTATTACTTGATAGATTTATAAAGGAGAACTGCTCCCCTTCAACTATTTAGTTTCAACTATTTAGTTATCCTGAAATATAGTATTTATAGAAAAGACAGAAAGAACAAAAGCTCAATTGTTTCCTTCACAATCTATGAGTGACCAAAGAGACTGTTCTCTGCCAGATGTCAATATAAACCCATTAAGTCTAACACTTAGTTTAATCCTTTCTGGCAATTTTTCTTTCTGAGGCTTAAAATTTTCCATATGTGGCCAGTGGCATCATATTCAAATTGGCTCTTGTGACATGAGCCAAATATTCTTGCATGGCTTCCTTGCTTTCTTGTAGGACAAGATACTATAGGTTTATCTTGTACAATTTCTTCCCTAGATGTGAAATCTGCCATTTCTTACTGATTCGTGATTCCTTTTAGGAAGTAGTATTTCGGGGGCTCATTGCTACTAGGTTAGTCTCTGATCCTATCTCTGTGTGTATATTTTTAATTTTAATTTTATTAGCACATGTTTATAGTAAATAATGATTACATCCATTGTAGGGAGTTGGTATATAACATCTTAATTCTTTTTACAACCCTTTCCCTCTCCTCCCCTCCTCCACTGGTCTCTTGCCCATTTGCAAAAAGAAGTCTATCTCCCTGTTGCCTATTATCTATCTTTTATTTTATTCTATTTTTTTAAATTCTCATATGCCATCTGTTTCAGGAGCAGTCGGGATTTCCCAGGTGGAGGTCTTCAAGGGGGGGGTGCCTGTTAGTTTTCATGGCAGTGACACAAGAGAATGGACTCAGTGTACGAATACATGTATATAATACATTTTAAAAATCTATATTTGTATTCGTATTTATTTATTTTGCAAGGGGAGGTACCCAATGCACAGGGGCATCGGTCCTTTTTGTAGTTCCCTCTGAGGCGCGGAACCTTTCCTGTACTCCCTGCCTATCCCGGGAAATTTTAGGCGGTGATACCTACTAGCAGACTAACCAATTAAAGAAGAGCGTGGGTTTGGGTACCCGAGCTAGGAGACTGCGTGGGCGGGGCCGGAGCGGGTGAAGGAGGCGGGGCTGAGGAGGCGGGATGCCCCGCCTGGTGGCCAAAGGTAGGTCTCATTTCCCTTTCCTGGCCCTCGAGCTGCTGACTTTCCCGCCAGCTCACCGAAGTGACTTTTGGTCTCCAATCTGTCTCCAAGTGTCTGCCGCCGCTTTCCAGCCGGCTGCCCGGTCTTCACTTCTCGAGGTTGGCTTCCATATCTTCAGTTAACGTCACTTTCTGTCCCTCTCTGCTGTCTCTGTCTCCCAAGCCCTGGTGCCGCTCTTCTGCGGAGCCTGAGACCAGAGGACCTGGCCCGCGCGCCATGGAACAGCAGCACCTCGCGTCCAGCTCAGCCCTGAGGGACACAGAGGAGCCTGCGTCCTGCTCAGGTGAGAGGGGCTGGGAGACCGGAAAGCCCCCCCCCCCAACACACGCACCATTGGAATCCCGTGCCAGTTGAGCAGGGTCAGAAGCACCATTTGCACTTAGGAAATCCAGTTTTGGTGGAATGTTGAGTCAGCCACCGAATAGCTAGGGCCTGACAGAGTATTCTTAGCTATTCTATTTTTGATTACTTTCCTCTAGCCAAACATCAACCTTAGATTAGAATTGTGAGTTAAGAGAAACAGAGCAGGAAATTTCCTCTTAGTACAGAAGGGATCAGTGGGCTGCTGCAAAAAGACTTGAGCGGGACTTTTGGAGACATGGTATTTGATGCAAGTTTTGTTACTTTGTGGCCTGGAAACTAAAAGCAAACTGAAAACCAGAGTCATTTTCACGCCTTAACCTGCCCCTACCTGTCCTAGACGTTTGCCAGTCTCACTTGGAATCTTGGCTTCAGTAAGCTTGCTGTGCGGCAAGCTTGCTTTTGTAGTAAGAGAAACTATGGGCCCACATCTGCTTGGAGCAAAGATATCTACATGAAGTTAGGTTTCTTGAAAATGTAAATCCTCTGTGGGGTGTACACTCTCTGATAGGGTAGACTTGGGAGGGGGTCTACCTACTGACTCTTGTATGCTAAGAAACACACTTGACACAGGCTGCATAGGATTCCTCCAGGGTCTGGAGAATAGTATTGTTGAATGAGAATGCGTATAGCTTGCTTTGTGCTGTTGAGACAGTGATATTCTCTTTGTAAGAAGAAATTAACATTTGAATGCACCTGTGTCTCCCCTGTGCCCTCCAGAGATGGAATGGTAGAGAACTTGTTTGCAGAGCAGCTCCTGGGTATGGACACACATTGAGTTGTCTCCTGTCTTGCAGGTGTCAAGGAAGAGGTGACGTCGTGCTCCTTCAACAGCCCTCTGTTCCAGCAGGAAGACAAGAATGGGATTACCTACCGGATCCCAGCCCTGCTCTATGTTCCCCCCACCCACACCTTCCTGGCCTTTGCAGAGAAGCGTTCCACAAGCAGGGATGTGGATTCTCTTCACCTGGTGCTGAGGCGAGGGTTGAGGACTGGACACTCAGTACAGGTGATTCATCCCAGCTCTTGACCTGGGCCTCACTTTGTCTCTACAATGCTTTACCCACTTTTCCCATCAGTGTTGGAAAAGTGCTATGTGGGAGCGGAGGAAAAAACAGCAAAAATGAGCTCTCGTTAAACATTTGTTGTGTGCCAGGACATGCTGAATCTTCACAGCCATTCTATATCATAGGTACTCTTATCAGTCACATCTTCCCTATGAAGAAACTGAGGAGCAGAGAGGTTGCCATTTGCTCAGAGTTGTGCAGTTCTAATGAGAAGTAGGCTTCAAACTCAGTCTCAGACTTCAGAGACCCTCTGTGGTTTATTCACTTTCATCTAATATGTGTTGTGTTTTTCATTTCTCTTCCCTTCATTTCTCATAAATCACTTAGGGAAATAAGCATTGTTAGTGTAGAGGCACAGCGATGCTCAACAACTAGGCCACACACCGAGAGGTCTGACAGGAGATTTTATTAGGGAAGGCAGGTTAGGGAGAGAGGAGAAAGGGAAGAAGAGAAGACCAAAGAAAGGAAGGTCCTTTTATCATTTTGGGGGTGGGCTATTGCTTATTTATGAGGAGTAGGCTACCTTTAACCTATCACAGGCCAGGTTGCCCTTTATGGGTTTGGTCCTGGAGAAACAGATTTAGTCTCTTCGGAACGCTGTGGCCTTGCAGGGAAGGGAAACTAAAGATAAGAGCATGAGGTCTTTAAGAGCCAAGAAGCACCAGGAAAATGCAGCCCATGATTGCAGCGTCAGGTCCCTAACAGTTAGTCCAGTTTTGCTGGTGAGAGATTAGGGTGCTCCAGAAAGTAAATAGCTTGTTCAAGACCACAGAGAGGAAGTAACATCAACAGGCATATTCTTAGTACTATAAAGTGCCTTGTGTGAGATATATATTATCTTCATTTTACAGGAGAAATTTGGGCCAGATAATTAAAGTGACTTGCTTTGGGCACATAAGTAGTATGTGACAGAACTGAAATTGGAGAACTTGCCTATAAGTAGCACATTTTTACTGATATTTTGGTGGGGAAAAGTGTTTGCTGTTCTTTGGGGCTAGAAGCTACAGGGTTATTTCAGACCTCATATTTCTTATTGTTATGTCCACTTCCAGAGCTGGCTGAAGTGAAGATCAAATGAGAATAATTTTGAGAGTCTTGTAAAAAATGTATAGCTGTGTATCTGTCTGTCCATCTTTTGTTTTTATAACAGATACTTTAATGCCCCTAATCTGCTCTGCTTTTCTACTTACAGATACCTGAAATCTTAGCATTGACCCTTTGTATCCACAACAGGTGTCTTGTTCTGTTATAGTGCAAATGTCATTGTGCTGAACATGAGTTTACCAGCAACTCCTGTCCTTACTTGTGATGATACTGGCTCACATTTCCCTATGGGAATTTTTTTTTTTTTTAACTTTTGGGAATTTTCAGTTTCTTTTCTTTTGACTTAATGTCACTGAATCTTTGTGGCTTCCCAAGACCAGACTCCTGCTTGCAAGTGGCCCCCATACAGGCCTAGTCCTGCAGCCCAGCAGAGCTTGGAGTTCTAGCTATTTCATTATCTCTTGTAATGAGTGTTATCTCTGGCTGTGTTGCCCTACTTTTTATCATAGCCAATAGGCTGGTAAGCTTGCCTTTTTTATTTCCTCTTCTCTCCTTTTCTTTCCTTTGCTTTTTTCTTTTCCCTTTCTTTTTTCCTTCATTCCTGCCCCTCTTCCTCCCTCCCTCTCTCTCTCTTCCTTCCTTTTTTTTATCCTTTTAAAAAACATCACACCACACCTGTTGCATGACCACATTGTACAGTAGTCACATTTATCTGTTGTATAACCATATTGTTCAGTACTATCGTTGTTCAGTAGTCACAATTGTGTTTTTTGTTGTTGTTGCTTTGTTTCAATTTTGGAGAGTGTTTATTGGAAATAAGAAGAAAAAAGTTCTTTGTGGCCATCAAGAGAGGCTTCTAGATGGAACTCCAAATTCCCTTCTTTGTCCTGCTCTCATATAGATAAGCAGAGCACAGGAGGATTTGTAGAGCTTTTAAAAAACCATTTACTTAGTTGAATACTTGGCTGGATACCCTACATTTCTCAGTTCCTCCAGGTCAGCCTGGAGGTTGGAGAGGGGTGGTTAATTTAGCATACTCTTGCTAGCATACTTTTACCTGGGAAGAAAGATTCTTTTAACCTTTAATCTTTTTTCACTGTGTGTTCGTTTATATTTCTAAATTTAGCTAGTTGCTTAAAGTAGCTCTTAACTTAGTGTGTACTATGAGGAAAAGTTCTTATCTCTCCATTCTTATCTTAACTTTTTATCTTTTTACCTAGTGTTTTCTTTTTGCTTTGTTTTTGTGAACTGGGGAATTGAACTCAGGACCTCACACATGCCAGGCAAGTGCTCACTGTACTACACTAAGTTTAGCTAGCTGCTTGAATTAGTTCTTAAATCAGTGTGTGAGGCAGGCGCAATGCCACTGAGCTAAATCCCCAGCCCAGTGTGTGCTATTTAAAAAAGAAAATGTAGCTGACTTTATCTTAGGTGCACCCTGTTGCAGTGCCCCCTCTTAAGAAGTATTTCTAACTGCCATTAGGGAAGATGAGTGAAGATTTCCATCTACTTGCTTTTTGCTGAGAGGTTCAGTGTAGGGGGCTAGCAGAGATTTTCTTCACAGAGAAAATCTAAGGGGACTTCGGTAGAAGCCATATTGGGAGAGTTGACAATTATGGATTCTCTTGAGAGGGTTGATCTAGGGGACCCTGGTAAAAGGAGTTTGGCACATTTGTCATTGGCTCCTTCTGCATGACCATTTGGAGTTTGACAGTCTCTAAATGAGAAGAAACAAATTTGCCAAGAGATTAAGAATGTACAGCCCAACCCAAGAACCAGGATGAAAAGACAGATTGGGGTAATTAAGGGAAGGATCCAGGTCCAGACACTGTTAAGGGATTGGAGTGGAGATTGTAAACTAACTGTCCTAGGACTGTTGTGGAGGTTATCTGTAAGTTGGATTTTTTTTTCTTATGGTTTTAAGGTTTTGTTCCTCCTAATGTTAATTATTTATCCAAAGACAAGAAGTTTCATTTATCACTGTACAAGTCTCTCTGGTTTTGGCCAAAAGAAGATCAAGGATTCTGAGGTTTTGAAGGACTATTTTAGCTAAAGAATTTAAAGACTCTTGTTTTATCTCTATAGCTGTCACCATGGCTCTTTTAGTCTTATTGAACCATGATAATGATAAGTTGTAGGTGTAGCTACAAGGTCAGTGTAGTACTTGGAGCCCTTTTTATATCTAGCCTGTATTACTGTTATTCTCTATATAGATCCTTTTGGTTATACTTTTCTGCTGAGCATTTAAGACCAAGTTAAAGTGAGACTGTGTTTATTAAAATTAACTTTGCTCTTTATATATATTAAGGTCAGTTCAGGCTCCTCAGGGATTATTTTAGGGCCATATACAGAGCCTTTTAGGTTTTACATATTTTTTGTTTTGTTTTGTCATTGTCACCTGCCAGGAAGAGTCATGGTCTTGCTTGACCATATGGCTTCCCTTGAAAGAATGGGAGACATTTTCCTTTTGAGTAGCTCTCCTTTTAGTACAATGTACAGTGGTTAACTCCTGTCCTCTTGGTTGCAACAGTCTCTCAGGAGGTTGAGTGCCTCATTGGAGTTGTAGGATCCTTTTCGAGGGATCCTCTCACATCCTGAATCCTAGTTGACCTTGAAAGGCTAGGTGGCTGCCCTCGACCCAGTCACTCTTTTTTTAGCTTTGGTCTCTAAGCCTCAGTTGTTGAACATCCAGAAGGTCAGTTACCAGTATTGAAGTGGGAGCAATAGTTTAAACAATCATAATTTTATCTGAGTATTGAGCACTTTGAAATATAAATTATGGTCAGAGATCTGCTATTTCTTTTATCAATCATGGCTGAAGTCAAGTTTTTGTATGTAGAATGTTAACATATAACAGCTATAAAGTCTTACAGGGAAAAATTGAAGTCAAGTTCAAATATAGCATCTTCCCGCCGGGGATTTAACTCAGTGGTTCCACTGCCTGCCTCACAAGCACAAGGTCCCGAGTTCAATCCCTGGTACAAAAAATACATATATATAATTATGATCGACATTATTAAAACTGGTAGGCTTTTGTGATTTCTAAAATACATTTAAAATCTTATTTTATCAATTGGTTACCTTGTATAATTATAAGATATTGCAAACGACAAATAAACCCTTTTTAAAATTTTTTTATCTTTTAGTAAAATGTCTTTTAAGTTGCGGGCACCTGTTTATAGATGTACATTATAGGTTATTAATGTCTAATCTCTAATCATTAGACTGGCATTGTTTGGATTGGACATTGTTTAGGTACATCTAACTGTTACAACATAATTATAAAATATTCACACGAGCATAAGTCTGAAAAGTATACCACCATAAACAATTTTAGCCTGGAAGTGATCAGAATGATAAGTTGTTTTTCTAAGTTTTGTATCCTCTAAGATTTGTATACTTGGGAAACATAAGTGTATCTAATATATGGCAGCATGAAATTAACAATAATTAGCATCACAGGTATATGATGTTTTTACTCTTGAGGCAAAATTTAGACTCCTTTAACAAGTTTATAGGGTATAACTACACTGACAAAAGTTAAAGAACATCTTTAGACCTTTTTCAAGTTTAGGAAACAGTATTACTGATCACAAATAGACCTTTTATCCATCATGCAAGTGAATCTTATTTATACAGTGACAGAATGTTTAATCAAAGCCAATAGATGTAGATTGAGTTTTAAATAGCAAGATGAAATTTAAAGAGATGTCAAAAAACTTTTCATAATTTTATGTCTAAGATCTGGATATAATGTATATTATATAAAAAAATACTTATTAGTTACTTTATATGTATCAAATTTATGTAGTCTTAAATCTATAAACAACTTTAAAGCTTAAGACTCACATTTTGCATATATGTATACATAAACATACATAATAGATATGTCTAGTTC